AAATCACTAACTTCTCCCACCAACACCTGTGAATCCATCTATTCCATATGACTATCAACGTCAAAATAAGCAGTCATGCACTCCGAACTACTATATGCCATGGGAGCATCTGAGGAATGCTACAACATGGGAACCGGCTAAGACTCTGTTATGGGCATATGCACCGTCTGTCGTTCCTTATGACATACCTATAAAGAAGTAAAGGTAGAGGACATTGCTACATTGGACTTCATATCGTGGGAGATCTCTTAGGCGATCACCTCCTTCGGAAAAGAATGCAACACCAGAGCATATGTGGACTGCGAAATGGGAGCTGACAAGGCCTCTGAAGTGGACACCGCCTTAACTGAAGAAATAAGAAATAGATGTCTCTAGTTCCCTAGAAGTTACATCTTGGGGACCTCTGTCTGGATAGAAGTTTTACTCGGATAAACCCGAATTGACATTAATGACATATACTTGGAATGGTAAAAATGAATGACATTGCCTTACTTAACCTGCTACAAAGTTGAAGAAGATAGCCGAAGGGATGAACACAAACCATGTCTTGAAACAAACTCATGCATACGAGCAGTGGTGGATCCAGGATTGGATTCATAGGTTGTCCCATCGTCTATCATTCACATATAGCATACACCTCTGTTTTTTAGTTAACACATTTCTTATATCATGTATGTCAAGATCCTATTATTTTAACAATTAATATCTTTAATTGTTGACATTGTAAATTATATATATAAAAAAATGGATAATAAATATACAATGAGATAGTTCAAACAAAATCGCACTTAACAATGTTTTATCGTAACTATAAATCATAGTCAAAGTGATATTTGTGAATAAGGTAAAAGTTAAATGATGCCAACTAAAAAAAGGGAAAAATATCAAACAGTAGTCAAAGCTCTAATAATGAACAAAAAAAAAAGCCAAACAAACAAAACTCCGAACTTGAGAATTAGAGATATTTCATAAAGGTTCATTTCATAAAGTAATACAAATTTCTATTACAACAAAAAAATACTTAAATTTAAAATCCTATACTCATTTATAAACTACGGAGTAAATATAAACGACAAATTAACAACATAAAGCTTTAAAATAATTAGCATAGCAAAAAGTCATGAACAATCACAAAAATAACCAAATTTAAAGTTTCAAAATTAGAGGTTTAAGATTAGTATATTAACTGAGTTTGTAGAGTGGACAGAGGACAATAATGGCAAGGTCGTGACTCGTGAGTCATGACCCATAGCTGCAGAGGTGGTCAGCTGGTAGTGGGTGGTGCCTTATCGGTGTCTCGATTGGTGTGGTTGCTTGTTATTCTATATTTTTATCAGATTACCTATTTAGGAGAGAGAAAATTATTGGCAACTTTTGTTTTCTTTCAATAAATTTATTTTTCTTTTTATATTTTTAGTTGGGTTTCACGTAAAAGTTGGGAGGGTGAAATTAGTAATGTGGATATGTAGTTTGTAGTACAATTATCACCAATTGTAAGAGCCTCAAATACCTTTGTTACTTCTCTGATTATCTCACATTTAGTTTTTAGTTTTTTTACCTCATATTAATTTTTTTTTTATAAAAAAATACTATGTCACAGGACCCACCATGACTAAAGGTGGGTCTGCCCCTGCATACGAGGGACTTCAGCTTCCTGACGAAATGGTGGTAAAGATCGACTCACACTCCATGTCCTTACCAACTGAATCCGATTGGAGATCACATTCCATATCAACACACACTCTCTAAAATCGACATTGAGAAATTACATTCCTTATCACGACCAAATGAACCAGGCTCCGAAACAACAGCTGGACCTAATTAATACACTAAACTGCAAGTCAGCAGTCGGAGCTTAAACTTTAGTTACACAGCAACCCTTTTTGACCTGACAACCAGTCACATAGTCATTGGGAATTTGAGAGGTCGACTCAACCTGGGTAACAGACTGGACCATTGTCTTACCCTTCTATTTCTGATCAACCAAAGACACTAACAAACCTTCAACACAATGCAATTTTATTAACACCACTACATTATTAGGAACACCTTTAGTAGCTTTAACCAGATCCTTTCTAGAAGAACGAAGCTTGCCCAATTCTTAACACGCATAACCCCTCTTATAGAGACCCTTAATATAACAGGAATCAAACTTTAACACGAAAGAACAGAGTTTAATAATAGTTGAGTAATCAAGAAGCTTCAACGCACAAGCCTCATGATTGAGATGCAAACCAAATGCCAAAGAATGAAATGAAGAAAAAGCTTCCAAAGAAAACGACATAATAAAACACAACAATTTACTAGCCAACTCATAGTTAGAAAAGGCAAGCTTAAATTTGCCAGCCTTGAACAAGGAGTTCCCTAGCTCCTTAAATTCCGAAGAACGAACAACAACATCACTGGGATTAGCCATAGAGGAAAGAAGGTGGAAAACACTTTCATCATTAAAATCATCCAGAAGGTGATACGAAATGAAGGCAGGAAACAACTCCATAATAAGACCCAAAAAAGCTAGACTAAGAACAGAAACACTTGAATAAGAACACCCAACTACCAAGGAAAAGAAATCATAGCAGCTCAATAGCTTCTACAAAGTAAAAGCTCAAAGAACCTGTAAACATAAACTCGAAACTCTAAAGCTATCCCGAAAAAATTACCCAAATTAAACAAATGTACCATGAGAACCTAGAAGGAAATATAAGAACAAAGGAAAATAATCAAGCAAAGTAAAATAAACAAGCAGACACCACCTAAACCAAAGAAAAACAAACAAGAGCCCAAAATTGACAGAGCAAACTAAACTGAAGGAGACATGATTGATAACTGAAAAAGGAAAATAACGTAGTGGGAATATGAACAACTGAAAAAGGAACGAAACACCTAGAAATGAAGTTGTCATCATCAAAACTCCAAAATAATCGTCTCAGAGAGAACAAAGATAACAGGCCTCGCTAGCAACGTTTTGGAGAATAAACGCCGGTTGTCAGCGAGAAAACGGGGAAGGGAGAAGGCAGTTGGGAGTTAGGTGGTGAGGGTTTATAGAGAGAGAGTCCCAATCTAAAAATCCAAATCGACGCAATTGAATGACTAGAATTGCCAATGAGTTTCCTCGATAAAAGCATAAAGCGAACAAAGTAAGATTCGGTTTTCAACGTAAACTCAAGGCCTTATCTTCTCTAACCCAAAGGACTATGTTTTAGGCCATATTTAACTTTTTTTTTTTCCTGTCAGAATCCGATCAAGAATACTCAAACAATGATAATAATAAAAAAAACATATTCCATTCATTTTGTAATAATCACAACACTTTCTTTTTTCTTTTCTTGTAATAACTGCAAAACTTCTTTATTTGATAAGGACTGACTATTATTTTATTATTTCTTTCTCCTACAAACCCCACATACATTACTATTTTTTTTTATAATTATTTTGTGTTTTCTATTAAGTATTAACATTAAACTTAACTCCACTTATAATACTTTATATTATAAAATAGCCGCGTTTCTGGTGCGGCAGGGTGTCAAATCAGCAAATGACAAAGTCATCAACCCCACCAACCTAGTAACCCATGACCGGACCAAGTAACCCCCTCTAGTATCCCCTTAAGTAACCCCTTCGACTTAGTAACCCCTGACCGGACCAAGTAACCCCTCAACTAACCCCTCCGACTTAGTAACTATAAGCAAACTAAATATACCTTATGAATTAGGAATTATGATATTTTCTTTCCACTTTGACAATTATATTCCATAAATGAAATATTTCTAAATATATTTTATATACTTTATGTAGTATCTTGTAATATTATTATAAAAAAATATTTAAAATCGTGAGGATTTTAATGTACGTTATAAAAAGACAATGATCAATGGAAAAATTCAAATGTGTCAACTATTTAGGAGCTATGTTGCACCGATACGGACACGGACACGGACACGGGTACGATACGGACACGGTAAAACGGAAATCCTAAAATAGGGGACACGGGTACGGCGAATAACTAGGTATATAATATATTAAAAAAACGAAAATTTGACAACCTATTCAATAAAACACTAAGTAATTAAACTCAAAATAAGTCATTTTGTTTAAAACAAGTAATTATTTAGTGTCCGTACCAGTGTAATTATTTAGTACCGTAAAACAAGTAAACAAATTCGGTACTCATCTATCTAAACAAGTAAACAAACAAGTACACAAATACACTCAAGTAAACACTATTTCTTCTTCCTTTCTCTCTCCTCTCATCTATCATTTCTCGCTCTTAAACTCCCATTTCTCGATCTCTCTGTGTCTTCCTCCAATCATACATCACAACACTTTGAAATTTTTTTCAACTCTTCAATAACACCAAAAAATCTACTCTAACAAGAAAAATCGAGAATTAAGGGATGAATTTAAATGAAAACGAGAATGAGAGGATTAACTGAGAGCACCGGCGGTGACGAGCGAGGGCGACGAGCGACGGGAAAGATTAAAGGGGGTTTCCGTTAAATTCGAGAAAGAGAGGACGGAGAATGACACCTGCGACACCGGTGTGAGTGGTGACGACTGACGAGCGGCGGTCAGCCGGTGACGAGTGACGGCAGTCGGAGACAATCTAGGTTGCGGTGAGGCTGAAGTTCCAGTTGTTGCCTTGTTGGTGTTTGAGTGACGAGAGAAAGAAGCAGAGAGGATTGAATTTGAGATAGGCAGGAGGACATGAGCAATTGAGCAGTAGGGTTTGAGGAAAATGCAAAATTAGCGTGTCCACTACCAAACGGGCCGTGTCTAGGGGTGACACGGTCCGTGTCCATGCATCGTTTTTTAAAAAAAAAAAATTGGACACGGATTTTGGTGTGTCCGAGACGTATCGTACCGTGTCCCACCCGTGTCGGTGTCGGACACGCGAGTCGACTCGGACACCCCTATTATGTGGCGTGTCCGTGCATCACAGTTTAGGAGTAGAGAAGTTGGTAATAAAAAAAGGGGAAGTTGAATAACACTTGTTATGTTTTATGCATGCTTGATTACGATTTGCGAGCCTATAAAAAAGCTTCAAAAAAAACTCGAAATTACTCGCCATTTCCCCCTCGCTCTCAATTTTATATTCTTGCTCGATCTTAGTTTAGGGGGTTCTGCTAGGGCTTTTTACATTCCAGTTTTCTTCAAATCCATCACATTCTCCTGCTAATCACACTCAAATTCATCGATTTCACCTTCCCAATCGCTTCAAAACCCTAGAATTTCCTTCAAGATTGTCGAAACTCTTTGATTTAATCGTCAAAGATGCTCCAAAAAGGTTCCAAATTCTCGAGATGAATTCGAATTTAAGATTGTAAATGTTGATATGAATGAGTTGCTGTTGAAATGAGCGATGGAGGTAAAGAAATTGGAAAAGAATTTGAGCAGCAGAGCACAAGAAAACCAGCAGGAAACGAAGATTTTGTGCGAACGATTGCGAAGATTGCGGTTGCTCAGCTTTGCGAGAATGAAGGGTTTCATGGGTTTCAGCACTCGGCGCTCGAAGCGTTCGCCGATGTTGCGGTGCGTTACATGAAGGAGCTTGGTAAGACTTCGAATCATTATGCTAATCAAGGTGGTAGGTCTGAATGTAATGTATTTGATGTGATTCGAGGGTTAGAGGATTTGGGTTCGATTCAGGGGTTTCCGGGTGCTTCAGATGTTCATCGTTCGCTTGCGAAATCGGGTATAGTTCGAGAGATTAGTCAGTATGTAGGATTAGTTGACGGAATTCCATTTGTGTTTTCACTACCTAGGTTTCCAGTTTCAAGGGAGAGGAGGAATTCTCCTTCTAGTTTTTTGCAGATGGGGAAGGATCCTCCTGAGCATATTCCGCCGTGGTTGCCTGCGTTTCCGTTTTCGGGACCACGAGGAGAGTCACCGGGGTTGGGAGAGGGAGAGACTGATGGACATAGCAAAGAGATTGCGCAGGAAGAAGCGCGTAAGAAGGAAGAAGCTGAATTGATGAATATACAGCAGCAGCAGCAGCAAGAACAGGAAAAGCAGCAGCAGCAAGAAAAGGAAAATCAGCAGCAGCAAGAACAGGAAAAGCAGCAGCAGCTGCAGCAGGAACAGCAGCAGCTGCAGCAGGAACAGCAGCAGCAGCAGCAGCAGCAGCAGCAATTGGCTGCTAATAATGGCTCTGAAGCCGTTTTAACGAACCCGTATTTGATTCCTCCTTTTGCTTATGGGGAGAAGGCAGTATCTTCAGTTGAATTCCCTTCAAGGCATTGGGACGGAATTCATCATGTAAATGTGATGGATACATATGCCCCAATTGCTGAAACCGCACGAAATGAGTTTTCTGAGATTAAGGAGATGGATAAACAAGTCAGTTTGGATGAGAGACCAACTGTGCGGCTTAAGTTCAGTAGTGGAAGGAAGTCTTTGCGTACGAGTAAGAATGTAGTTGCTCAAACTAAAGGTTGTGAGAAGATTTCTGTTTTATTTGAGCGGGATGATGAGAATGACGAAAAGAAAAGAAGGGCTGAGCAAATTTTGAAGGATTCAATGGAGACACCGTTGGATACGACTGAGTTGTAAATTAGGTTTGTTCGCTCGTCAGACATTGTTTACTTTTTCTTAGGAAACTAGCAGCTAGAGCTGGTCTCAAAGAGATATTCTTGTTTGCTGATGATAGTTGGACTCTTAGGGATGGCTTTTCCACAAGTTGTGGAGGTATGTATGTGTTAGCTGTTCTTGTAATCTGTTGTCCGTCTTTGATTCTTTTCTGATTGAAATTCATGTTCTTTTATGACAAGTACTTGGAAAATACACATGTGTACCTTAGTGTCTTATTTTCTTGTAATTGGATACACTGATTTAGCTTAAATCTTATCTTCATTAATTTGACAAAAAAGAGTCATGGCTTCTTTATAAGTGTATACTGATTCAAAGTTGTTGAAAGATAAATTGCTCTGATTGTTCATCGATCCATGCTACCTTAGCTAGAATGCCAACATTGTGCTTTTTGAATAACTGAAAAATATGCAATGTGTATAATCCATTAAGATGTGATTTAGATGATACTGGACAGTTTCAGAATGAAGTACTTGGTGTTTTTTAGTTCTGATTTGCTGAGTTTGTGAAGGCAACAGTCATTATTTAGTTTAGTTTTATCTTTTGGGATCAAGAGGATAAAAAGAAGGTTACAGAGCAACATTCTAGTTTACTCAAGTCTTACTTTTTAAATTTGAAATTGGATGGGCTAATCATTTTGACATAGCTCTTGATAGTGTATACCGTGCTTCTCTTTGTTGATGCATATAAGAGACCTCCAGCAACTGGAATATAATTGTGCTGCAAGAACATATTTGAAAGTACCTTGACTTGGAATCCTGCTTTATTCCTGCAATGTTGGGCTCATATATTGACTTGTTTAAGAATTATATATATCATGAGCAATGAAAGCTATGGAAATGTGGTCATGTATATCCAAAAAGAGATTATTAATTTGTCGATAAGGGTTTGCAATTTTAAATGGCTGAGTGCCTGTGTCCAACTTACACATCTTCGCTGCTCTGATTCATGTTGCATTTAGGTCATTCTGACTTTCAGTCACAGTAGTCATGGGTTATTGTTTATGTTTCTTATATTGCTTATTTACTATCCTCTATATATATTATGCTTTTTCAATCACTAATATCATAACACCTCCCCATCTTTTGAAGGAAGAGTCTAGATAAAGGATATGTACTCCCTTCGCCCCTTAAAAATTGGTCCATTTGACTTTTAATGGTCTCTGAAACAAATCTTAAATCATCATCTCCATTTTTGTATAAAAAGTTGATATTCATATATATACTTCCTTTGCTCTTTTAATAGGTGCACTTTTAACACGATCTAAACACTTCTCTTTAACCACATATTGTGATTATTTTGGTAGGGACATTATAGTTATGTAGACTCTTGTTGGATCTTTCTTGATATGTACTTTCATGGTATCAACTTTGTATAGTTTTTATTGCTATATAATTAAAGACATATAAGGTTTAAATTGTGATTTGGGAAGCGTAATCATGTTGCAATTTTGAATGGAAGTATATTGAAAAGAACCCAACAATTTCTCGGATGACATTTTTATTTTGACGGCCTCGGATGACATTTTTATTTTTTATAATTTAATGAGATGAAGGTCAAAGTAAAGTTAGACCTAAATATATACCATCAACATGTTCATGAGCAATCTCTTGGAGACTTAGGGTGTATGATTTAGCTGATACGGATCTATTAATAATACTTTGGTTGACATTGCCATAGAAGATTGAACTTAAGAAGTTGACCTACATAATGTTTTCTCTTGATGTTATCGGAGCAAATTGTGAAACTAATGTTTTAATAAAAAAAACTATTTACTGGTTTTATTACTACATTGCCATTGTTGAAAGTATGCTCTGTAAACCTAATACTACATTGCCATTGTTGAAAGTATGCTCTGTAAACCTATAATCACGATTTTCATGCTTACTCTTTTTTTATTTCAACATGAAGTAATAAGTTAACTTGACTAGATAGCTATATAATCTGTGGTTTGAAGTTTTGAAATACCATATTATTGCTAGCTATATAGGTGGCTTGCCTTCACAATTAAAAGCTCCTTCCTGAAACCAGAGGCGCTTGTTCATTGAAGCTGTGGTTCCCTACCTTGGCGGAACTTATAGTATGGGTTTTTTATGGACACTATACTCTATTAAAAGACATGGGGATGCTTGATATGATTAATAGTGCTACAAAAAGACAATAGTATGTGGGTACTAGTGTTGAATGACTAATACCCAAGCAGACACATGTACGATTGTCATAGTTTCCATTTCATCAAAACATGGTTATTGACTGCGCACCTAATGTGGAAGAGGTCATGGATCTTCTCTCATATATGTATCCTTGAAGTACTGAAATACATCAAGAATTTCTTTTTAAGTGCCTATTTATGTATTGATGTACAACCAATACTATTTCTGCATTTTTAATTATGATGTTAGATTTATGACTTGTGTTATTCAGGCTTGGTACTCTTGTCGAATGTGGTTTTTTCTATTTGTTCAACTTTATTAATATCTGAAAGTATTCCATGTTTTTGACCCAAAATGAAGTGTCAAAGTGTCCATAACCATGTTTGAGGGTTGAGGTATTGTCACACTGTTACTTGAGCCCTTGAGGTGAGTGGAAGAGACTGAGTAACCTAGCTCATGACATGGAAGCTCAAATTGTTTTTAGGTGGTAATGTTAAACCAATATGGTTTCATATTTTTTATATGTATTTGTTGTTTAAGAGTTTTCTACTAGTTATTTTAGTTAGGGACAAGAATGTGTACATTTGATCTATTCAAATGTGTAACTTTTTGTGCAAATCGAGAGACTTTGTAGGCAAGTGATGCCAAAATACCATGTTCAATCATTTACTACAGTGAAGTAGATAAAGACATTGAATTATGGCCCCCTTGAAGGTCTGGTAATAGAAAGGAAACTCTTTGATAATCAATGAGGAAGTTGGAGCATCATAATAAAAGATTCCAAGAGAAGGGGTAGTTGTTAGAGTACCATCACTGGCCAAAATTTGAAGAGGCATGACTTGGCTCAACCTAGATTATGTCGTGGAGAAGATTCTGGGGCATATAAGGATCCTTGCATATTCCATCCTGCAGGTCCTTTTTCTTGTTGCCATCTTAGTGGTGAGCCATTTGCATATTTTTGCCTCCCTTGTTGTATTTGTGTTCATATTGCATGTCACTTTCCTATTTCTTCTCCCTTGTTAAATGTTTTATTCAGGGTTAATGTAGAAGCAATTTCTTTTCTTTTTTTTTTAAGTGGCAAACCTTAGACCGTGCTTTGCCATTCAAAAGGAGCTCTGCTGCTTCTGTTGCGGTTGTCGTCTCCAGCATCCAGGATTATGTGAGGTTTGATTGCCTGGTTAGTGTTTTTAATATGGCTGTCCTATTTTGCTTGTTGGCCATTGCAATTAATATCAGCAAGTTTGATCAAATATTACCCGTTTCTAGATGAGTTTATTTGTCCATACGCTAGCATGCATTACAGAAAAGACAAATTTTAATTATCTTGAATCTTGCTGGATCATTGATTGCTAGCCTTTCTAGATATTTGTTTACGCTGCGTTAAAATTTTAGCTTATTTTAAGAAGTTTGTTGTGATTGATATTTGCTATAGGACATAGTAGATGTTCACTATCACCAATTTTTTTGTTTTATTTAATAAGTATTGTTCAGTTGTTCACTATCACACTTGCCCTAATTTTGTAAGTTGATTGTTTATCTGTTGATGCTGTCCTATTTTTGTTAAACTTTCATTTTGTGGTTTTCCCCCCTCTTTATTACATTTGTCTATCATTGATGCTGATTTTGTGGATAACGTCATTGTATACTTTTGTGGAATAACTAGATTATGGGCCTAGGCGATGCCCCTGGTCATTGTATGAATAACTTTTTTACTCTTATGCATGAATGTCATGATCTAATCCAATTTTTTCATTCAATATTAATTTTATTTGTTTTAAAATTTAGTGAGGACGGAGGATAATATGTAATGTGGCTTACTTAGTGCTTACGCCTTTAGTGTGTTTTTTTTTTTTTTTTTGAAAGGATAACATGTAACATACCATAGTTTAATGGTTAAGACTATAATGTTAAAATTAATGTCTCCTTAGTAATTACTCTTCAACCTTGTCACTACGGGATATTACTGAGAGTGTTGCTTGGCTTGCTTCCTCTGTGCTGTAGTGTGTCCGTCTTTGGTATGCTATCAATATAGTTGTATAACTAGCTGTGACAATATTGTTTTTGAGATGTTCCTTGGGGGTGATATGTCCATATTCTAGGGTTTCCACTAATGGAAAACACTAGATTCTGTCAAAAAAAAGTAGCAGTAAATATCAGTAAATATTTTAATTTCAGTCTGAGGTTTAGATGCAAACAAATTGGTTGTAAAATTTGTGTACAGATCTGATGGGAACAGTTGGCAATCTTGCATTTCTTGTTAGATAAAAATGATCATTTGTGCAAAGATGATAACCTACTGTGTAACTGCTGCTTATCATACAAATCCCCAGGGCAAGAATGAAGGAAAAATCAGGTGGTTTCATATAACAATTCTAATTTCTACAAAAGCCTGCATTCACGACCCATTCAATTAAGTGCCACATTCCTTCTCTGAAATCTAACCAAATTAATTTGTCGAGTAAGCTAGATTTATATTAGGCTCTTGATCGTGCCTTATGTTCCTTGAACTCAGGATATCCATGTCCAACATGTGTCCAAGCTTCCGACTCGACTAATTTTTGACAAAATTCCATGATTTTGAACTAAAAGTGAAGTCTCCAAGTGGCATACCCATGTTCGAGTGTCAGGGTTCGACACGGGTACATGAGGTAAATTGAAGAGTCTTAACATAGATCGTACCCTTAGGAATGTCTGATATAAATAGTCAAATACTCTAAGCATGCAATTTTCTTACTCATTAAGGAACTAGATTCATTTTTATTTGTTCCAAAATTGTAGTTCTTATTGATTTATTTGTTTGTTGGGTGTGGATTGTTCCTACAAGTTCTTCCCCTTGATGTTCCTTTCCAGTGCAATTTTGCAGAGATTCTCTCAAAAATAACTTGTACTCCCTCCGTTCCCTAATGTTTTTTACGTTTGGAATTATGCGCGGTTATTAAGAAATTGTGTAAAGTTGAGGTATATTGGAATATTTCAACGATTGAAAGTACAATTTTATTGATAAATACAATGTTGATCATGTGGGGTGAAGAAATTAGAGGAGAGAGGAGAGAGAAAGTAATAATAAGTGTTGAAAAACTATTAAAATAGTACAAAAAGTACAATATCACATGGAAAAGTAAGGACTTTTGAGTAAAAAAATTGTAAAACAAGGGTAATTTTGTCCAAAATTTATGACTAAAATAGGAAATATACTAAATGTAAAGAATAAAAAGGAACACCCTAAATGGAAACGTAAAAAACATTTAGGAACGGAGGGAGTAGTATTGGAATCAAAGCTTTGTCAACAATGATACCCATGCAGATTAACATTGATAAGTAACACTTTTCATCTTGCCCATTTGGTTTGTATTAATGCTCACTATCCCAGGTATAGTGGCTTCAAAGCTAGAAAAATCAAATGGGACTTGCCAAAGGCTAACAAATTTCCAATTATTTTGTTAAGGGTTTTCATTAGTTTATGTGGGAAGTGAGTTGTCCCATGAATGATATGTGAAGATCAAGGCAAGGTGGTTGATATATGTTAATGAAAATGAGATTTTGTAGAGGAATATCAGTGCAAGAACCTGGGATGGTGGAGCAAGAAGATCTTTTTTCAAGGCATAAGCATCCGGAAATTTATTTCAGGAGGTATTGTATGTTTTCATGTACTTGGGTGATTTTAAGTTAAAAGGTTGGTCCAAAGGTTCTGCTTTGGCATGACAAATGGTGTAAGGATAAATCTCTACGAGAATTTTCCTAAGTTGTATAGATTGCTTTATTAGGGCGGCTACCATTTTTAGTAGTATTTCTACTGGAAATTATAATAACATTTTATCTTACTTTATCGAGACTTCCTAATGGTTGGGATGAAGATTTGGTCTTATGGTTTTTTGTATTCTACATTGAAAAGTTTGGGTATGATAGATGATATGTTTCCGGTTAGAGTTCTATAATTTCATTGACAGAAATTTTTGTCTGATGTCTTCTGTTCTTTTGATATATGGAGGACAGAATCTTTTTTTTTTTTTTATCTGTTTATTTATTTTTTTAGCAGCAGTAGTTGTCTAAAAGAAGTTTGCAACTGTCCTTGACACCTTGTTTTTATGAGGAATACTTTCATTACATGCTTATGTAGTTTAATCTTTTGGGAGGAAGGCTCTGTTAATCATCTTTTACTCTCTTGTCCTTGGTTTCTTCTCTTTGACACTTACTAGTAGCCTTGTTTGGGATGGGCTTGACCCAACTTTGTTCTGTGAGTTATATCCTTGTTACTTGGAAACAAAAGGATAAAGGAAGGTTTACTTACTAGTATGGAAAATGATTCCGTTGGCATTATGGTATTGCAATTCGAAAGAAAGTATAATGAAATTTTGAGGGGTATAGCTTTCCCTAGCTGAGATTTCAAGTTTCTAATCTAGAGGCTTTTGTAAGTATTAGATTTTAATGCGATACATGACTTTCTATATTTTGTAATTAATAACTTGTTAAATGATAGCTTTAGGAAAAAGTATACTGTGTTGTAAGGTCGGGATATGAAGTGAAAGTAAAAGCTTTCTTGACTTAAGGTTATGAGAAGTTTAAGACTCTTGTCCCATCAATTTTGTCCTCCTTTGCTGGTTTCCATTCTGTTATTCTCTTCAGTTGATAAATGCAAAATGAAGTGTTGAAGTGTCTGTACCCCTGCCCTTGTCCTTGTAGGAGTGTTGAGGTTCTGACACAAGCACTTAGGTAAATTGAAGAGACCAGGTTACATGAGAAACTGTTATCTGTTTAGTTTTATCAACATTATCATGAAAGCTGAGGTATCAATTGCCGACTATTTTTAAACCTGCTAGGCCACTTTACCTTATGTAGCAGAGTACATTTTTGTTGTCGAATAATCCAGTCCATGGCAAGGGACAATCCTCAATTCCCCAACCCTTACTGATTTGACTTTGGATATGGTCTCATTAGTGTTTGTGTCTGTAATCTGTTTTTAGAAGTGATATGAAGTGATAATAAGAGCTCTTTCTTGACTTTGGGTTTTCAGAAGTTTATGACTCCTATCATTCAATGCTTAATTTGAAAGGCCCTGATATGCAATGAAAGTAAAAGCTATATCTTGACTTTAGGTTATGAGAAGTTTAAGACTCCTGTCCCATCAAATTTGTTTACCTTTGCTGTTTTTCATTCTGCTATTCCCTTCGGTTGTTTTATGCATGACTGGTTTATCTTCTCATTAGTTTATCCACACTTCATCTTTCCTTAAAAACTATGATGAGTAAAATGCTACGTGCAATTGTAGGAAGAAGGAAATCCCATAAAGTTGAATGTAGAAAGCTTCAAAAACTTTCTCCCTGGAAATGTGTTTATAGTGACATTGCTTTGGGCTGTGTGACTTAAAGTTGTTTCCTTGTCTGCCAATTTTTGGCTTGTATTTGATTAATGTGAATGACTATAGAATACCTGTCTCCTTTCCTGTATTTTTGTTTTTTTTTTTTAATTTTTTTTTTTTATTTTGCCTTCCTAAAAGCAGAAGCTGCTGAATCATTCGATGGTTGATGGTCAAAGAGTTGGGTTGTTTTATTTCATTTTGCTTTATCTTGGTATTAATCTGCTTACATGCTCATTATGAGTGTCTCATTTTGTGTTTTGCTGTGCAGTCTATGAAAACTTGCTGCAACTAGTGGCACTTGATAACAATTGTAGACTCGTAGGTGATACAATGGTTTCTCTGTTGAGATTAGTTGCTGTACATGGGCGTGTTGCCTGATAATAAGTATGTGAACATTGCACTCGCACATGGAGTTTTAAGTGACTGTTCACTCTTTTGGGACTGCGTTGATGATTTCGGGCCCTTCGCAGGTTTGTAGTAGTTTTACTCCAGTTGCTTGTTGCTGCAGCAACTGATTATGCTTGCATTTCGAATTCCATTTGGAACTACATTCCACACGATTGTTTTCTATCTTCTTCTAATGTAAAAACAAGGTGATAATTTTGCTCTCATTTTGAGAACTGTAGGGTCTAGAATAACCTATACAATTTGTGGAAGGTACATCAAATAAGTATTAAAGTAAATTCTGTATTACTTTACAAAATTACAACTGTACTGTTGATTAACATGCTTTGCTTGACAATCAAGTTAATTAAAATGCAAAAAGGAGAAACCAAAGGATGGAAAGTGGACTAAACATGAATTACAAGAGTGAAAGTCCTAGAGCAAAATAAATAGTTGAGTTAGTAAAGATTCTGAGAGAAGTTACTGCTTTCAGTATTTCTGAGATTGTACTTCTGTGGCCTTGTCTTCAACAAGCTCCACTATCAAGTCTTTAAAAATCAATCTTTCAATATCTAAAACCAAAGCTGGTGTTTCACCACTGACATCAGTCCAATCTGCTGATCTATGTGTCAGATCTTTCCCTATGATGGTTGTCAGAAAATCCTCCTCATCATCTAAGTTTTGAGGCAAGCTGATAGGTTGGAGCCGATCAATTTCCTTAAATATCTCCTGCAGGAGCTGTGGGCCACTAGTTGTGAGCTCTGAATGCAATTTCGAGGATGATCTTGGTTGAGAGAGTTTCTGAGATAGTATTTCATTAACTGCATCAAACAAGAGCCTTCTCCTGTGCATTTCTGTGGTTCTTGTTATTCTCTCGTGACTGTTGGATCTTTTATCTGAAATAAAACTGCTTCCTATGGCTTGTTCCAGCACAAAAAAAAGATTGGGATTAATTGCTTCTTGTGACTGGAGGACAATATGATTGTCCGTTGTGTATTTAAGATGATTTATGAATCCCGAGGCAGAGATTATTTCAGACACATATGACTTTTCGAGATTCATGCTGTTCTGTAGAGGTCCGGCATTACCTAAATTCACATTCTGAGAAGTGTTCATGTTCCATACAGTAGGAGCTAACTCTTTGAAATTTTCTAGTTTTTGATAATCATTCCCATAGATGAAACCTGCTCTCATGCTGTCTACAGAGTAAGATGGATCAGTGTCCATCCACTCTGCTTCTTTGTATGTTGCATTGGTCACCAGATCTGCATAAAAGTTAACAACATTGGATCAGCATTTCTTTCGAAGAATTTTCCTATAATGTTTTTCGATGGATATTTTAGATAACCATGTTCCATTGAGCTGAGTCATAAATCTCATAATATGACAGTGTTCTTCCCTTTTTTTTTTTTTTTTTTCCTGAACTCTTTGTTCTAAGCTCCCTTTCCAGTGCCCCTTTTATTGATAGTACGCAAGGATGGATTTTTTGTTACTTTTAAAAGTTGGTCTGATTTTAAGCCTTAGGCAATAATGATTTGCATGACTATTTCTTTATTCTAAGTGTCATCTTAAAGCATCATCTGTTGGTGATTTAGAAAAAGAAGATTACTGGGATAATTGCCCATAAATACATCTCTTCATGTCATTAGTATGCTTTATATTTGTTAGCACTAATTTTAGTTGATAAACCTTTTTTTTAATGTAGGTTAATGCACTTTCGGCTAACTTGATAATGTGATTCCGTCTTTACCTCTGAATGGTGTTGGTTTCTTTCTTACTGGAGACGGAGTTTCATCATCAAAGAAATTAGCATCAAGAACTGAAACCGGGCTTGGTTGTTCCCTTACAGTTATTGCTATTTCTTCCAAAGGTGCATCACCTCGGATTCCTTCTGAATTCTGTTGTTAAAAAGGTCAGGTTAGTTACGGTGAACTAATGAGAGTATAAATGAGTTGAAGAAATAGATATAAGTGAATAACACACGAAAAGATGAAAAGTAGAACTTACTTTGTCACCACTCACTTGCTGCATGGTTTCATATTTCATGCATGATTCATTAGCATTTTCATTACATCTTTGAATATGTGAGACCATGCTTCTGTTGTTTTGGTATAACAATGGATTTGTGTTTCCTTGTTGACTCGGGGATGCTGTTTCATTACTGAACTCACTTGATCGTCCATCAGTCTCCTGCAAAAAAGATGAACCTTGTGGTAGCTTTCGGTTGTGAGGGAGGAAGCTCATAGCTTGCTGGCTTTGCTTTAATTTAGAAACTGATGTTGTTCCAGTGGTGCTTCTTGCGTCTGAAATCCTTGTTGAGCTTGTCGCATTTGCCTTGGCCATCTGCTCAGGTGTTTTTGAAGTTCTTATTGGCCTTGGAGTTCGTTCTCCAGAATACTTCTTCCTGATGTGATGAGTTTCTTTGGGATCTTTTGCTGCTTTCTTCTGTGCTGAATCCTTGGGGCCATCTACAGGCTGAATAATCCTAAGTCTCTGAAGGCTAATTACGGGTATATCTTGTACTACTTGAGTTGTTTCTTCTCTGGAACCTTTGACAAGTTTAGTAGGCTTTATATTTTTAGCTGATGTAGCATCTTTGATAGTATTGAACCCTTTACTTGTAGAGGGAGTAGCCTTTTTTGGATGTTTTGGGCTGTCTTGAACAGAGCTGCTATTGCTTGTTTGGGATGCACAACGTGGATACTGATTTTCTTTTCTGATTTCCGACTTGTTTTTTTCCTTGTGCATTGAGTCAAGTATCTGTTTTAGAGCTCTAAGATCCTTCCCAGATTTTTGGAAATCCAGATCAGCCAACCTTTTCTCAATTGCACCATAGACAGTGAGAGGATGGTTTTTGGGTTCTGAATCAGCTTCCTGAGATAGGGAAGCTGTTTGGTCTGACTTGGCTTTATTTGATCGTGGAGTCCTGGATTCCTTGCAATTACTTCTTGGGGAGTGTAAAACCCGATCTACCTTGTTTTCATCTATGGTCCTTGAAGATCTCGAGAACAACTCAGCATTTCGGAAATAGTTAGAACCATCTTGCTCTATCCTACTCTTGTTGGATGTTGTATCATCTGGCAGAGCTTCCAACCCCATCAACTTTGCCACAACGTTAGATGGTGCTCTGTAACTTGTAGGCTCCTGTTGGTCACTCTGGAATTTGTTGGGACCACAAATCTCTCTCTTTAATTCTCCAGGGAGTAAATCATCTTTTGACTCATGGGAAGATACTTTTACAGTTCGTTGTTTACTATCTAATGACAATCTCGGGAGGTCTTTAACTTTCAAGCTAGAAATGTGATTGTCCCTTGTTTCCCTGCCATCATAAGATAATCGAGCAAGATCTTTTTTTCTTGGAGTAGCTACAGGCGCACTATGGTTGGAACTAATTGAACGGAATGACTCATTGAGAGCAGCAACTCGCGGGCTATCTGGTCTGGACGTATGTGAAAGTCTTGGGGAATCCATATGCTGATAGTTACATTTCACCTCTCTTGATGCAGTTGATATCAATGATGCAGTTGATATTGGTGATGCAGAGGGGGCAGTCTCTCTGATTATGTGTTTCTTGTGGTGGTAGCCCATTTTTACTGGTGAACTTGGTTGTTGTGGAAGAGATTGTGGCTGGTTTGCTCGGTAATCCCATGAGTGTCTTCCCCCTCCAACGGTTTCAGCTGACAGCGACTGTTCAGACTTGGTGGTCCATTCATATTCTGATGAGGATATGGCCGTTGAACCAGAAGATGAGATGGAAAGTCTAGATGATTCTATGGGTGTTACTTCCATCTCCTTAACGACATTCCGGTGTTTTTCCTGCAAATGCAAGCAAATTTAGCTGCAGTGGTACACTAATGTTGCATTCATCTAACAATTGTAACCATATGAAGGTATAGTTTCATACTTTCATCATATGAAGTTGATAACTAATTCAGACTTTCAGATGTTTCAATCGATTTATCAAATCTCTCACCTTTGATTTCTTGTTGGCATTATTGCCTGCTCTTCCGTGCTGCTTGTTTTCACCTGTTCAAGCATAAGATGTTGGGTTTTAGATTCATGACTTCAGAACATCAAAATTATAGCAGGAAACTTGAACTTCTGTTCTCATTTAGATTTTTTAAGATAAAAAATTTAACATATAGCAGCCAGCAACCAAGAATATTGATCGACAATGTTTGTGTTAAATTGTACACTATTGTTTGTCATTTACCTAGCATCACATAAAGAGAAATTACTTGAAATTGAAAAAGAAAATGGAATTTTTTTTGCAAGACATCGTAAATTCGTAATAATTATATTGGTTGATCAAATATTAGATGCAATTATCAAGTACAAATGAGTCGTTTAACAATGTCTTAGGACATCACATATGATTTTATTGACGATATTATTTAAAATATCGCATATAGTATAATAAATAATAAAAGTAATCATATATAAGACGCATCCACTACGTAAAAATGTGTCACACAATCAAATAAAAGTAATGATGTGTCGTTTAACAGTGTCCTAGGACATTACACATGATTTTATTGACAAAGTTGTTATCATTCCTCTAATGCTGCTCTAATGCTGTGACTTTGTACCTAATTTTCGACGAGTTTTTGTAGCCTATTTTCTTACTAAAAAAATCATGTATACTACTTGCTACATGTTAGAAAGTGGTAAGTGTAGTGAAAGATACTCCTTATTGAAAGAAACATTTGACTGAATGCTTCTATGATAACAAGATTTCTAGTGCTGTAACATAATAATAGTATAATACTATGACGTCGCTGTTATTTATTTGTGGAAAATTATTACTTCCTTTGTTCTTTATTACTTGACCCACTTTGACTTTTACACTATTTACCACCCTTTCTTTGACCGTCTTTTGTGAATAATATGTAAGGAAAAATATATTCATGTATGATTTTTTTGAATTCGTCTCAATAAATAATATCATAATATATGACTTTTATAATTTTTACTTATGGAGAATTTAAGTTATTGATTGTTAAATTTTTGCATTGGCAAGCGTGATAAAATAAACAGGTCAAATAAAAAAGAACAGAGGAAGTATATAATTTTGCAATCTGTATGTTATATATTCTCAAATATTAGAATAGTACTCGTATTAAAAATTGCAATATTTGGTATTGGGCTCAACTGTAACATATTTCCTCTATTCTGTTAACGTTTAAGTTTTTTTTTTTTTTTTTTTTTTTTTTTTAATATTTATACAAACTCATTTGGTTGTCTTTTGTGATTTATACATTAAAATACACATTGTGTAAAAAGGTTAATGTTAATGTTTTTTCCCTAATACACACAACAATACAAATTACACAAAAAAATATAAAAAAATAAAAATAAAAATAAAAAATTTGTCACAAGATTTATACTTGTGACATATCATCAATTCATAGTTTCATACACAAATTATTAGGCTACATTATGCTATTCATATTTTAAAAATAAATTAAAATAAAATTATTGGTATTCATAATTTCATATAGTCTTTACTGTGTTGATTGAAACACAGAGTAACGACCAACCACTTATGTCGCATTAACAATCATCACATGCCATTATTTCAGGGTCAAGATAAACTGAAAATTTATTACTTGTACCACTTTTGACTATTACTATTACTACTTAATAATGTCATCAATTCAGCTATGGCACATGTAGAACAGAGAAAAAAAAATCATCTAAGGTTTGTTCGTTATCATTGCGAATTTTATATTCACAAGTTTTTCAAAAACTGGAAAAAGTTATTTCTCGATAGTCAATATGATTAATTTTAAGTTCATTATACAATGTCTATTATATAATTCTTGAAATCTCTATACCAAAACCTATTAGTGATCCCGAACAAGTCTGAAGATTATATACTACCTCTATTTCATATTATATCATAGTATAATAAAAAAAATTAGCATTTTGTATCATGTTATACTATATGCTTAACAACATAATACTTTGAATATACTTTGAATGTTGTGATTACTTGAAAACTTGAGAGGAATTTATGCAGAAATTGACTTATTTCATAATAAATGTTTAGAATGGTGAAATTGATTAAATCATACCTGGAGAAATTCTTCTGTTAGATGAATTGCTAATGACACGATTATTGATGAAATGATGAGGATCAAAGAATTGAAGCAATCCATTCATACATCCAATCTGCTTCTTCAAATTCTGATTTTCTTCTGACATTGAATACAGAAGTTTTGCAGACATTTTTTGGCTCTTTGAGATTTAGAAGAAAAAAAGGGGGATGCTTTACTTCATCTGATGTACATTACCAAGGCTGAATATATGACACATAAAATCTGTTTAACAAGTTTGCAGGTTTACGAGTTTCAGAAACTGAGCGATTTTCATAAATAATCCTAAAATCGAAACTTGGGAGTACTTATTTTTCTGAAATCTGACATATTGTGAAAATGATAAAATAGATGATTTATGAGTACTTTTTTTTGTAAGTGGATTTTATTTTTTTTCACATGGAAAACAGCAAAGTACAGAAGAAAAATTCTCTGAAAAATGAATGTGTATGTATGTTCTGTCTGTTGGCTAAGAAAGGCAGCTATATATTGCCTATTGCATGGTTTATAAGACTGACAATTTTTTTTATATTAAAGTCTTTTTGGAGATGACCTCGGGAATTGTGATTCTGATCAATTAATAATTAATTAATGCATGTAATTACTCCTATTTTTATATTCCTTTTTAAATGCTATCCAATACAATTTAAGATTTTTAGAGATAATTATACCACTTAAGATTCTTTTTTAGATGTTACTATTTCACGTTAAATATAGTCATATGTATGAAAACTTTAACACTTAAAAAAAAAAACAAAAAAAATCATGCTAATTGGAACACTCTTAAAACATGTAATCTGTGTTTATATTCTATAGAAGTATCAGAGTTCGAGTAACTTACATTCTTACAATGATATTGTAAAAGTTAACTTCGGTGTACTTAATATGCATGTTACCCTAGACTAAACACTATATTCATCCCATTTTGTTCCATTTTTCTTTTGTAGGTATAACGTATAAGCGTTTCATTATATTTTTATTCTATTTCCCAATTCTCACTCTGATCCCCCAATTTTCCCTCGGTTTAAATCCATTCACTTGCATGTAAATGCCTATGCAACAAAAACAACGAGACGAAGAGAGTAATTTTATACAAGTACATGTATTGGATTTTCGTTTCTCCTAAAGTTGAAGAGATGTATAAGTAGTAATTTCATTGATAATGTGTTATTGTTAGGGCTTTATTTTTTTATTTTTTTTTATTTTTTATTTTTTGTGGTTTTGGACAGGGAGGATCAAAGGAAAATAATTAAATTTTTTATATGATGTATTTTATAATTGGAAAGAGTATGAAATAGACTAAAGAACGAAAATACAAATTATCCCTAGTGCCTCTTAAAGTTAAATTAGTATAGACAAATGGAAAGAACAAAAAAAGTACATTATCTTATGTTTATAATAGACCTTTTTTGTATGTTTGTAGACACAAACATTGCTTTCATTTGATTATTGATCTGCCAAAAAGTATATGATTATTATTATTATTATTATTATTATATGAAAAATTATGAAGAAAAAGAAAATTAAAGAGAAAATAAAAATGGACAAAAGTAGAGAAATGTGAAATTTAAATAATAATAATAATAATAATAATAATAATAATAATAATAATAATAATAATAATAATAATAATAATAATACCGAGTATACAAAATTAAAAATTAAAAATAAAAATTAAAAATAAAATAAAATAAAAATAAAATAAAAAGTGGAGAGATGTGGATTGTAGGGTATGTGGGGGTGAGATCTCTGAGTTCCTCTAACTTGAAGTTTTCATGTGGGTGGACCATTCTTTAATGTTCATGTGGCGTTTGTCAGAACTGTTATTTTAGAATATCAAATAGGATGCTGGATTACCACTTGAGTTGTCTCTACTTTTATGTAGGTCACCTTGTTTTAATTTCTTGAATTTTATCTTTACAATTTTATTTAACTTTTATTACGAAGTATATTTTTCTGAAAGTCTGATAACAATTATTTATATGGAATCCCTCAAATAAGTAATGAGATTTGATCCCTAAACCTCAGGGATATAAGGTGAGAAGCGATGTTTATATTTCACCACATCAACCTCAATTTGTATTATAACAGTACAATTACAGATACGAAAGTTAAAAATACTTGACACAACTTTTAAGGTTGTAGCAGTACCTTAATTTGTAATATGATAATTACTTATCCATAAGGTATACTAATAATTTAAACAAAAAATATTACGTATGTATAATGAATTTTTAGGGTTAAATAATGTATCGAAGCCAAAAAAAAAAAAAAAGTTAAAAATTAATTATAACATATAATTTTATTATGTGTTTTAAAATTAATACAAAAAACAAATAAGTTTTTACCTATATACAAAGTACAAGAATACAATAATCATCATAACCTTGGTAATATTCCACTCTCCAAGTTGAAACAATGACACTTCGAGTCTTCGAGAAGGGATAAAGGATGCTCCCCTTGGAGGGGCAAGGAACTTGATTGTTGAGGGAGATAATTTGATAGTGGTAAACCATATGAACTAGGTTTGGCACGTTCCATAAGATATCTACAATCTCATGACCAATGCTAGTGTAGATTTGAGCAAGCTTAATTAGTTTGATTCATACAAAGATATACGATTTTTCTCCAGTCCTCCCATTTTTCTTATTATCCATAAAAATACTTTAAATTGACCCATTTTTTTAGGTTGACACTCCCTCCATATCCAGTTTAAAAGAATTTGATGTACTATTTTTACAAACAAGATACTCCGTTCTTTTTATTTTTTAATAAGAAATTCTAAAAGTGTCTCATAATGTGTGCATATTGTGACAATATATTTTACCCTGAATTAAGAGCAAAGGTGTTACATAAAACCTAACCTAGTTTTCTTTCCTTACCCAAAAATAAAATCAAATTGCTCTTACATTTTGTGGTGGACAATATCTGATCCCTAAAATTCAGCTAGCAAAAGCTGTAAGGATGTGTAATAAATGCTAAACCAAAATTATTGTTATAATATACAGTAAGTAAGGCAGTAAGTAGGAAGCAATTGAATATGTAATTGTTGGTTAATTGCTAGGCAAACCCTGCCCACAACATTCATACTTTGCCTAATATTGTTTTTATCTTATCCATCCAAACTAGTAGCACCTAATCATGTTATTTGGTCATTCCAATAATATAGCATCAACTTCCTCCCTTTCAAAAGATCTTGTTATAGGATGTGGACGAAATTAATGAAGCTCCTATTACTCTAATTAATTGGCTATACTAGCCTTCTATTGGACCCTCTACACAATTATTTTAACACGAGTTTAATTAAAGATGGTAAATAAGTGGTGTAGATTATTTTAAATTAAAGATTATGATCCCGCTTAATTAGTAAATTGCACGATACTCTATCAAGGCGTTCAAGAGTAAATAAACTTAAAACTAATACTACCTTCGTTACATATTATTTACAACGATTTGACATAAAGTAGAGAAGGAAAATATCTAATCGTAGCAAATAATATGTAACGGAGGTAGTAAACAAAAACCAATTACAAACAATTAACTACAATACTCATACTTTGTAGATATAATAAACTTAAAAGACAACCGAATCCAAAAGGGAAGGAAATAAGATCAATTGTAATTATTTTTGTATCAATCTCATCGGAAATGAAGCTAACTTATGCTTGAAAAAAATAATATTGGCATTTGGAAATGTGTAAATAATACAAGTATGTACTACTCCGTATGTAGTAATTTAACCGAGCCTATTTTCCTTAATGGCCACCAGACCAAATCTAATTGAGAGTACTTTTTTGGAGTTTGGTATGTGGCACGTGGCTATGGAAACCTCCCATCAACTCATTAAGTTATGAGCAATCATACTCAAGGAATCCACCTTTACATGATCATACAATGCTACACGTACACATGAATAGTACTCCGTATTTAAGTATACTAGTGTACCCTTTTGCACGGGATATATATAAAAAATCTAATAACAAAATTATACTTCAAATACATGAAGTTGATTTTTATATAGTATATAATAAAATTGGTAGTTTTTTTTTGGGTAGTTGTGTATTATTAGGAAATATAATAGTGGAAGTTATTTGGAGATTTATTTTTTTAGAGAGGTAGAAGTTATTTGGATGCCAAATAAAAATAAAAAAAAGGAGAGTGAATGAGATTTAAGAGTTGGGGTTTTGAAGGATTGTGGTGAAGTGTTGCAAAATTAACTCTACAATTATATATTAGATTATACTCCCCGTCAAAGAATAATACTCCCTTCGTTTTTAATTACTAGCTCCATTTTTCATTTCCGACTGTGTTTGGTTTAAATACTTGATTCATTTCCTTACTTGGAAATCTTTTACAATATTTAATTCATTTCTCTCAATTAGTGGGACCCAATAGAATTTCATTTCCTTTGTTTCTATTTAAATAATGCGTTCAATTTAGGCACACATATAAGGAGAGGAGAGAGAGTGCGAGAGAAATGATAAAGTAAGTAGGGTAGTTAGTTAATACAAGGTATAAGACTTACCCAAAAAGAAAACGTGTCAACTAAAAAAACTTCCTAATTAAAAAGGAATACGTGTCAACTAAAAAAAATGAAGATAAGTATTTCACAAATTTTTGTATGTGGTTGGCCACACCATGTAGCCAGCCACAATTTTTATTATTATTTTTTAAAACACCACAACTCTTCTCTCTCCTATTTTCTTAGCTTCTTTTCCAAACCAAATCACACATCACCAACAATCATATCTCTACTCCACCCGTTTTCTCTTTCTCCTCTTTTCTTAGCTTTTTCTTCAAGTTAAATCACACATCACCAACAACCATATCTCTACTCCACCCATTTTCTCTCTCCTCTTTGCCAAATTACTACAATTAGGTGTCAAATTGCTGTGAAAAATTGTGTCAAATTGCTGTGAAAAATTGTGATTAATTATCCTCAAGATCATCAACAACATTTGAAGTAGTGAAATCGATGAGAACCAGAGAAATGTGAGCTCGTTTTCTTCGCAGAATCTTAGATCGAACATTCTTCGTAAAAAAGTGTAGCGTGTTACTACTGGTTTGGTCATGGGTTACCTGTAGGGTGTTAATGGTTTGGTCATGGGTTACATGTAAGGTGTTACTAGTTTGGTCAGGGGTTACTTGTAGGGTGTTACTGGTTTTGGTCAAGGATTACTTGTAGGGTATTACTGGTTTGGTCAGGGGTTACTTGTAGAGTGTTACTGGTTTTGGTCAAGGGTTACTTATAGGGTGTTATTGGTTTGATATGGGGCCTACAAGCAACCCTTGAATAAGTAACAAGTAACCCTTGAATAAGTAATTCATACAAGTAACCTTTGAAGTAACTCATAAAAGTAACCCCTGAATAAGTAACTCATACAAATAACATTTGAATAAGTAACTCATACAAGTAACCCTTGAAGTAACCCATACAAGTAACCCCTGAAAAAAAAATACAAGTAACCCCAGAAAAAAATACAAGTAATCCCTGGAAAAAAAAATACAAGTAACCCCTGAAAAAAAAATATACAAGTAACCCCTAAATAAGTAATCCATACAAGTAACCCGTGAAAAAAAAAATACAAGTAACCTGAGAAAAAAATACAAGTAATCCCTGGAAAAAAAATACAAGTAACCCCTGAAAAATAAAATACAATTAACCCCTAAATAAGTAATCCATACAAGTAACCCATGAAAAAAAAAATACAAGTAACCCTGAAAAATACAAGTAACTTTGATAAAACCATTAACTCCGTTATGCGCATAAATAGTAACCCCGTTATGCGCGCGTCTGAATATGTTATTTTTACTGATTTGGCAGCAGGCCACATAGTGTGGCCTGCTGCACTAACAAGGCTATGTAAGTATTTTATTACTTTTAGCACTTGTTTGGTTGGAAGGTATTTCCCTTAGAAATGGAAATTTCTAGGCAATAGCTAAAATATATTGTGTTTGGTTGGAAATTTCCAAGGGAAATGTAAATTCCCACATATATTATGGGAAATAACTCATTAAGGCCCCCTAGGTGAGTGAATTCCTACAATAAATAGGAAGTTATTTCCTAGGAAATAATACTTCCCATGATCTGTGAACCAAACACTTTTCCTCAATTTTATACAATTAGCAAGAGAAAAAAACTTCCCATGGTATATGATTTCTTGTGGGAAATAATTTCCTATGCTGAACCAAACAAGCACTTAGATTCTCTCTCTTTCATTTTTCCTTCCACTAACCCCATTACATCCATATTTTATTATTTTATCCATTTCTCCTATAACTCCCATTTCTCCTAAAACTCCGTACATGGAGAAAAGGAGCAAGTATTTAAAAATAGACAGAGTAATAAAATATAAACTTTCTCCCATAATCAAAGCATCTACTCCTACTCGCTCCGTTTCTTTATAAGTGTTTCAACTTAGTTTTTGTGTTATATACATACATCACTTTGATTAA